ACGCCAACCACTACCACCGAAAAACAATTGTTGCTGCATTGCCGCGTTTTCTTTGCATGTTGTTTTTGGATTGCAGCTTGTTGTTGCATCGGGTCTGGCTGGTCTGGTGGGTCTGGTCTGGTCTGGTCAACGTGCTTGGTGAATCGCCCACCCCATGGCCCATGGTCTGGCTGGTCTTGTCTGGTGTCTGGTCAAGTTGGTCTGGCCTGGTCCGTCTGGTCTGATCTGGTTTGGTCTGGCTGGCCCAGTCTGGCTCTGGTTGGTCTGGTCTGGTCTGGTTGGCCTGGTCTGGTTGGTCTCACCAACCAGTCTTGTTCGGTCTGGTTGGTCAGGTCTGGTCCACGTGCTTCGTGGATCGCTCCCCTCTCCCTCCCCCCCCCGTGGTCTGCCTGGTCTGGTCTGGTGTTGGTCTAACCTGTCTGGTGTGGTCTGGTGTGATCGAAAAAATCACATTGTTGGTCTGGTTGGTCTGGTCTGGCTTGGTCTGGCTGGTCTGGTCTAGTCTGGTTAGTCTCGTTGGGTCTGGTGTGGTTTGATCTGGTCGGTCTGGTTGGTCTCGCCGGCTGGTCTGGTTTGGTCTGGTTGGTCTGGTCTAGTCAACATGCTTCGTGGGTCGCTCCCCGCCCTCCCCCCCCCCCCGGTGTGGCCGGTTTGTTGGTCTGGTGTTTGGTCTGGCTGGTCTGGTCTGGTCTGGTCTGGCTGGTCGAAGGTGTTCACCTTGGTGGTGCTGCTGGTCTGGTCTGGTCTGGTCTTGTTGCTCTGGTCTCGTCTGGTTGGTCTGGCTTGGTATGAGCGGCTGGGTTTGGTCTGCTCGGCCTGGGCCGGTTGGTCTCGCCGGCTGGTCCTGTTTGGCGTGGCTCGTCTGGTCTGGTCGACGAGCCTCGTGAGGCGCAGTGCGCACAGGCGGGTTCCCTGGCAGGCGCTGGGCAGGGAAACGCCCGCCGAAAGGAGAGCAACCCTGCGCCAAGTAGGGTCATCTGCCTGCGGCCGGGCGCGGCAGGCTGTGCTGAGGCGGCTGTGCTTGAGGCCTCCCTGGAGCGGGAGGACTCCCTGGAGCAGGGGCACGGGGACCAGAAATCGTCCTCAGGGGAACGAGCAGTGACATAGACACAAAAACTCGGAGGTCCTTGCGGATTGCTCGGGTCGGCGCACGGAGCTGGGGCCCCTGCTGGGGAGGCCTCCGCAAGGAGCCTCGCCCTGGGCCGAGACTCCTCCTCCTCCTCCTCCTCCTCCTCCTCCTCCTCCTCCTCCTCCTCCTCCTCCTCCTCCTCCTCCTCCTCCTCCTCCTCCTCCTCCTCCTCCTCCTCCTCCTCCTCCTCCTCCTCCTCCTCCTCCTCCCCCTCCGCGTATATGCTCCTCGGGCCAAGGTGCCGCCGCCAGAAACAGGAAGGGCTGGGGCCCGGAAGCGGGCCGGCGTAGGTCGGGAGGCCGGGAGCCGCCTCCCCCGCCCTCCTCGGCCTCCCCGTCCTCCTCCTCTTCCTCCTCCTCCTCCTCCTCCTCCTCATCCTCCCTCCTCTCCTCCTCCTCCTCCTCCTCCTCCTCTCCTCCTCCTCCTCTCTCCTCTCCCCTCCTCCTCCCTCCTCCTCCTCCTCCTCCTCCTCCTCCTCCTCCTCCTCCTCCTCCTCCTCCTCCTCCTCCTCCTCCTCCTCCTCCTCCTCCTCCCCCCCCCGGCCCAGCCCTGCCACCTACCGCTAAAGGACCCGAGCCCGCGGGCCCCAGCATGCACGCCTCTTCGGGGAGGTCACCTACCTACCTGCCACCGACCACCTACCCACCCACCACCCACCCCCACCCACCACCCACCCCACCCACCCACACCCACCCACCCACCACCCACCCACCCTCCCTCCCTCCCACCTACCCACCTACCCACCTACCCACCTACCCACTACCCACCAACCCACCAACCCACCTACACCACCCACCCACCCACCCACCCACCCCCACCCACCCACCCACCCACCCACCCACCTACCTACCTACCTACCTACCTACCTACCTGCCGACCTGCCGACCTGCCGACCTACCGACCTACCGACCTACCGACCTACCGACCTACCGACCTACCGACCTACCGACGACCTACCGACCGACCTACCCATTAACCTACCTGCCTACCGACCTGCCTACCTACCTCCTCCTCCTCCTCCCTATCGCGCCCACTCCCGACGATAGCTGGGCGCAATTCGAAACCCCACTGATGGTCTGCAATGCCTCCGAGGGGGTCCAATATTATTTCCAAGATAGCCCAGGACAACCCCGGAGGCGCTAAGATGGCCAGAGGTTATGGGGCACGTCTCTTCATGATGAGGCGCTCTGATAGGCTAGACATGCCTGCTGCGGAAATCACTTCGACGTTTGTCGAGGAGGAGAGCAGCGATGAGGAGGATGCAGAGGAGGGAGATGGGGAAGGGGAGAGGGATGATAATGGGAGGGAGAGGGGTGTGAAGGGGAGAAGGGGGTGGATGAGAAAGGGGGAGATGCGGAAGATAAGGAGGAGTTGGCCCGAGCTTCATGACAAGATAAGCACCCGCTCTGGCGAAAGCAAGTGTCCAGGACGCCCATTGCACCTGGAATCGGGTTCCTCACAAGCGAACGACTGTGGGACCTAACTGCCCCCCCCACTCCTGATTCCCCCCCTCTCCAAGACTACCTCGGGCCACCGGGGCCACAACCATCGATCGCTTGCGCACAACGCCAACTGCTGCTGTTGTTCGAGGTGGTCTGTCAGTACCGAGTGATCCCCAAATGACGACACATGCAGCAAGCGCATACGATAAGACATCTTGCCATGAGAAATATTGGGGCTGATTCTTCGTCGATGCTAGGGGCCCCAAGGTCCTCTGAATTTCTATGGGTCGCTGGGGCCATCGAGTGATAAGAAACTTCCAATAGGCACCTGCGCACAGGCCGACATGTGATTTGATGCGCCCGCAGCAGACATAAGTGAGTAGAGGAGCGACGAGCAATACGAACACAAATTTTGGGACGTCCGCACGGATTCTTTTGGATCCGCGCTGGACACCCCTCCCTGGCGCGCGGAGCGCGCCAGCGGCGGCATATAGGGGGCGCAGCGGCCCTGCATATAGGGGGAGCTCGAGCATATAGGGGCGCAGCGGCCCTGCCCGATGGCTTCCGCATGCCGCACACCGCCGCACGCTGCGCGGAGGAGAGGGCGGAGGAGGAGGAAGAGGAGGAGGAGGAGGAGGAGGAGGAGGAAGAGGGAGGAGGAGGAGGACAGGGGAGGAGGAGGAGGAGGAGGAGGAGGAGGAGGGAGGAGGAGGAGGAGGAGGTGGAGGAGGAGGTTGAGAGGAGGAGAGGAGGAGGAGGAGGAGGAGGAGGAGAAGGAGGAGGAGGAGGAGGAGGAGGAGGAGGAGGAGGAGGAGAGCAGGAGGAGGCGAAGACGCCTGCGCGCGACCTCACGCGGGCAACCCTCGCGCGGACGTCCGCGCAGCCGGCTGGGCTTTCTGGATGGCGCCGCTCCCCGGGGCTCGCTCTCCTGCCGAGGGCGGGCTGCGCGTGCGCGTGCGCGTGCGCGCGCGCGCCGAAGTCGAGAGGCACGACTCGGGAGGCCTTCGCGACACGTGCCCGGGCCAAGAGATCCACGGTCGAAGCTCGAAGTCTGGATACAACAAGAGCACTAGACGAGGAGCGGGCTGGGCTGATTCTCGCCCTAAAAGCAAAAAGATCTAGAGCACGAGAACACGCCGAGGAAGGCCGAAGGAGGGGATCCCAAGATGAGACCCCCCCGCCTTCACCGAACGGCAGATTCCGGAAGACCCGAACCCAACAATGACGACGCTTCGCTTTCCAGGAGGAGGAGGAGGAGGAGGAAGAGCAGGAGGAGGAGGATGAGGAGGTGGAGGAGGAGGATGAGGAGGAGGAGGGGGAGGAGGAGGACCAGTGTAAACTCAAGAGTCATCAACGATGTTGGAATAACCCCTCCCTCCAAGCATCCTCTTCACACGCCCCTACAACGGTTCATTTCCACTGAGGGAACTGCCTCGTTGGAAGCCAACTGTTTGAAGACCCTGAAGTATGCCATAACAGTGTTCGGGGGATTCCAACGCCACGGATCCTGAATCGCGCCAGAACGCCATCCATGGGACTGCTGCTGCTGCACCCTCATTATCCTGAATCCTTCCCAAAACACAAGTCCTGGTACGCTGATCATGGGAATCCGTGAAACTCTTGCAAACGTTAAGAAGGAATGTGCGCGGCGCAAAGGCGACAACCATATTTTGAAAGCGGGTCGCACTAAATCCGTGAAGCTTTGGCAAAGAAAAACAATGTACGCGGCGCGAAGGCGAGAGTCACATTTTGTAAACGGCCCGCGATCCATTTGTGAAACGATTGCCAATGTTTGGGCGTCAGGTTCATAAGTGGTGAGGAGGTCTCAGGAAAAACACCCGGCCCGGCCTAAAAACTGGCCTCGGGGTGCGACAGGGAGAAATTATCTATGAGAGCAAGTAATGGAGGAGGAGGAGGAGGAGGAGGAGGAGGAGGAGGAGGAGGAGGAGGAGGAGGAGGAGGAGGAGGAGGAGGAGGAGGAGGAGGAGGAGGAGGAGGAGGAGGAGGAGGAGGAGGAGGAGGAGGAGGAGGAGGACGAGGAGGAACAGGAAGAGGAGGAGGAACAGGAGGAGAAGGAGGAGGAGGCG